CCCCCCCCCCCCCCTCAAAAAAACGAAGGTCTGCCTACGCCGCTGTGCGAAAGTCTAACCAATTACTGATGTCAATGTAAAGGTAGCACTTCCTCTTCAATTATTTGAAGACCTTCAGTATAGGTCCGACCAAGGATTGAATCCGAGTTTCCCAGTTTGAAAGGCAAGCGTGGTGACTACGACACCACAAGTGCTGGGTAACTTCCCTTCTAATGCGGGCTCTATTTTGAAAAGCTGAAGACCCAATCTTTCTTTCTTAGCAAGTAAATCGCTAAAGGGAGAAAGGTTTACCGTATCAGGCATATATAGTCCAGAGGTTTAGAATATGACCCTACTGGAATGACGTTCTCCCAAAGGCCTGTGGATTGTATGATACACTTTACGGAATATAATTTCAAATCTGGTTCATTTAGACGGCTACCAGGGAAGCCATCCAATTGTATACCGCCATTGATCGAAGAATAGAGACTTTAAAACGAGAGAAAGCAATTGAAAAGGAGACTGGTGGTGAGTCACCTGAATCAGGTGAAAAAACAGAAAGTGAGCAGAAAGAAGATAAAGAAACGGATGATTTGGAAGATAAAAAATTAGAAAATATTGATAAGGAAACCGATCAAAAAGAAACTTCTAACAAAGATGCCACTCCTGCGTCTGAATGCCAAACAGAAACTGATAATGCTGTATAAACGAAATTTTATGAAATTTCTTGGCAGATTTCAAACATCAATAGACAATATAGTAGTGGCCTTTTAATAGGGAATTTTTATTATGCATATTTTATTTGCATCGATTTTCTATCAAGTTTTAAAATATATGTTGAAGTAAATGCCTTCAAAATAGACTTCAGTTTAAAAATGTCAGTGACAATACTTTTGAGCCGAAACAATATTTATACTTTATGTGAAATTCTCGAAGCAAGGATGTTAACGTGTAAGGTGGAAGAGCCATCCGACTACGTCTTTCTGACAACTTGTTTAGATCTGAGTTCGATTTTAAGCGCTCGCAAAATTGGTGCTGGACAGGCTGTTCGCTTAATCCACCAATTAATATAGCAGTATAATTATAATTAATTGCAGTAAGGTTTAATGTGACAGAAAAAGGCTATTCAATTATATAAAGTCTAAATGTACAAAGTAAAAATATACCGTTTAAATATATTGTGTTTTTACCTTTCACTATAAAATATCTGTCCTCTTTAGCTGTATCATAATGCACCTTCCCAGTTTCCCTTCATAACGATCTGGAAATCGACGGCACATCTGCACTAGCCTGCAGTGTTACCAGCACACCTACCTCCCTTTTAGGACGATTACATTTACTAGCAAGTCTTGTCTAATGCTTGTGGGTTTGTCGTTAGGTAGATGCGCAGATCACATCCAAATTACGTTTTAACCGAGTTTCCCCTAGATAGATGATGATTATCTATTTGTGCACTTTTATCAAATGATCCTATTCATCCCGGAGACTGTGTTGGTGTTACAGGTCTAATGCGATGTATGGAATTACTGCGCAGATCCACGTGGAAACATCGACCTTCAAAAACACCTTGGTTGACTTTCATTACACACGCAACAATCTCGCATCTTGTAGCAAGTCTGCCAACAACTCGTCAACAAGTATGGAACAAGCTGATAACAACTTGTAACGACCTTGTTGATACTGTCAGACTTAATTAAAAATCCAATCGGCAATGCAACCTCGTTCCCAGGTTCTGTCCCTACAGACCCTGGGAACGAGGTTGTCAGCAATACTGCTGGCATTAACGGGAGAACAGTGATTACAGTTATCAACGTTTATATACAATATAAACATGCATCAATATAGACTTGCTCCAAGTCTCTCTTTCATTGTCATATGTACACTATACTGGATCAATACTATATGACAATGAAAGAGAGACTTGGAGCAAGTCTAAGGTGATTCTGGACCCCGGCTTATTAGAAGGGGGAGGGGGCTAAATAAGGGTCTGGGCCGTGGCGGCTAAATAAATTTTCACGTTCTTTTAGATAAATATTTTAACTTAACATTACAGAATAATCATTAGAACAACATTCGGAGAAATTTTCATACGATTTACTATAATTGAGCCATATGCACAGCATCATCAGTGGACGTTATGTAGAACGTTTGTGTTCATATTTAGCTATATAGGTTTATATTGAGAATGACTTAATAATTACTTAACTAATAGAGAATGGGGGTTAAACCAAGGGTGGGGCTTATTGTATTTCAGCACTCCTGGAATAGGGGGGGGGGGCTAAACTGAGAGGAAATACGGTAAACACGCATTTGGAACTGATTCGCATTGTAAGCTGTTGCTATCCTTTTAAGTTTCGTATTTAGACACTAATTTATCCCTTTACGTGCGGATATAAAAACGGAGGAAAATAGAATTGGCGAAAACCATGTTTTTCGTAGAAGCCAAGATGGCGGAAATTGACGTCCAATAGCTATGAAGGTCTTAATTAAACAGTTTTTATACCATTTTCCTAAGCTAATTCCACTTTGTTCTAACGGACCGTATCGCTACACAAGTTATCAGTTCGTAAAACCATAGTATTATTATTTAAATCGAGGTCAAAATTCGAATTTTCTGCAACTGCGTAGAAAAAGAACAACAGAAAAGGGAACTGACGTCGAATAGCTGCCACTCGAGTTCTCACTCCAGATATATATGAAGCTCACTGGTTTGAATGTAGTCTGCCAACCCAGACGTCATTTCCGACGCTCATAGAATGAGACGTCTGCATGGGCGTACGGGAAGAAAAAAATAGGGGGGGGGGGGGCGGAAAGAAATTTGCCCGACTTTTTCGGATTGTGCCCGAGTTGTCAAAAACATTTTTCCGGAGAAACTTTCCAAAATTGTTGTCGACGGGGGGAGGAGTGATTACGAAAAATTCCTATTAGATAGCATATTTCCCACAAAATTGACAGAATTTCCCACAAAATTGACAGAATTTGTCCCATTTATTTTTACAATAAGCCAATATTGCCCGACTGGCTTTGTTTGTCCAAACCCCCAACCGCCCGGTACGCCCATGGACGTCTGGGTTCGCAGACTAGTTTGCATGGAGATTATCGTTTTTCCTAGCCTGCGCAGCTGCAACCGTCATCAGGCTACGTTTTTCCTTGATAGTCTTTGTCATCTTTCATCAACACGTTCTGTAGATTTCCTTCCTTGAAGCCTTCGTTCGTAAGCTTTTAGTTCTTCAATTGACATTGGAGGTTTCTATTTTTTAATAAGCAAATAGCGCATATGGTTACTATGAAATAAGCACAAATACAAGTTTTTTTGGACGGGAATGAGAAATCCTTATACTGTTATAGAAATTGTTTGCAGGAACAAAAAAAGTCCAAATAAATTGTTTGCAGATGATAAGTGCAAAAAACTTAAGCTTTTTTTAGCTGGACAAAATAATTCTGAAAAAAATCACATATGAACCGGCGTGAAACAAGCACAAAGAAAAAGACAATTCTTGTTCTAAAGTATGTTAATTGGTGGGAATTACTGAAGAAAATCAAAAGCATAAGGATTTAAACGCAGGTGTGTGTTAGTCGTCCTTTTCATATATATTGTAAACGTGCTAGCCGGTGTGTAGTTTGGACGTATGCTCCTATTTCATTGAACAGACTCGCTATCAGAAAGGGTAGTAAATATAATTAACATTCAAGTCAGTTTTTCTCACTCACTTTGCTGTTTTCTTTTGGTGGATATAATTGTCCCTAAAACGTACCAAATAACAAATATTAACCCTGACCCATTCATCAACAACATGTCAACAAAGACCAAAGTGTGAACTAATCCAAAAAGTCAGACAATTCAAAATTCTTCTCTGGAACTTTGTATGTCTTTCAACATTAACACATTAGTGCGCCTTGACGAGTAAAATTGTCTGGTGTTAATAGACGGAGTAAAAGAATAACGATGGGCGCATTGTAATTCATTCGATTAACTCATCAATTAAGCTGCAATGCGCGCAAATGTACCCTACTTAATACAGGTACCCTTCATTGCCATTATAAATCATGTCAAAAATCAATATAATTTCAGTATACACTGCTCGATACAGTATGCAGGCTTTCGCAAGGGGGTGACCACTTCCACTGTTATCAACATGTAATCGTATGTAATTTTAACTCTGGCTAAATTTAACCGAGACTAATTTTCATTGGGATTATTCTTCAATAATTTCTTTTGTACCATATTAAAAACATGATTACCTTGTAATAAAATCAAATACTAAATTTAGTATATTTAGTTTATTTAAGTCTTACCATTCTTGTCTGTACATATTCTTCATAAAAATTTGGCATGTTGAAATAGTAAAATACAGCCACAGGAAAGAAAACATAAATGGTCATCTAGCAATATAAATATTCAAGTGTTAATCCATTAAAGCACATGACTCTCCCCTTGACAAGTAAAATCATCTGGGATTGGGACAGAGTAAAATAATAAAGTGTAATTAAGGCACATTGCAGTCTAATGGGTGAATTGAAAGGGAATTGAAAAGTTTCCTCAAAAGGCATTATGTAATTAAACTCTCTAGTCCGAGGGGTCTGTCCCAACTGTTCAAAGCATAGGAGATTTTGAAATGACTTGATTTTGGAGATGATTTCCTGATTCTAACACAGATTTCTGGATTACCTGAAGGTATCATGCAGTTACAGAAGTAATGGTACATTCCTATGCTTGTAAATGCATTTACTCATATTTTAGAGCAATTTCAAATGGGACTATTGTGCAAAATATGGAATATTGTTAGAAAAGGACACAATTCCATTCCCAATGTCCCAATAATATTCTTGAAGCCTTTCAGAAGCCCTTTGTTACTTCTGATTTCAAAATCATCTGATTTCCAGTTGATTTCAACTGATTGATATTTTCCTAATTTCTGAGCTCAACTCTTTCTGACCAGAGGCGTAGCCAGGGCTGGGACCTGGGGGCCCGGCCCCCTGGCAAAATTTTGCCCCCCCCCCTTGGCAAAATTTGGGGGGCCCCTGATGAAATGTATTGTATAAAAAAGGGAATCCTTGATTATATAGCTTCATGCTGTCAATAATGCAAAAATTCTGTAAAATATATGCTTTGCTGGGCATCGGTGTGAAACCTAAAATCACTTGTTCACTTATTTGCGGCACACAGTTTGAAAGTTGAAACACATACCTTTTCTAACCTTAATTATTTCAATATGTATTAAATGAGGGTTAGATGAAGTTTAAACCAATCTGGGTTTTTTTTACAAGTGAATTTTTAATGCGGGCTCGGCAGTGGCGCCGTGGCCAGAGGGGAGGGGGGTTTTAGACCCGTCAGAAAATTGAGACCCGTCGGAAAATTGTCAATAGAGAGTTTGAGCAAGACAACGAAGTACGAAGACGTACTTGCCAATTTTTGCCGTCTGCACATTATCTTGCGCATACCGAGTTAGACGTCACTGGTGGTTGCTCAACATGTCTTCCCATGTGTCGCTGTTTATGCATACTGACCCTAATTCTTGCCCTGACCCAGAAAAAAGCAGCGAGACATGAAACTATATCCAGTCTTTGTCCCTCTGCCTTCGTTCGGAACGAAGTTCACAGCGAATTTTGCGAAAATTTTTGCGAATTTTTTGTTGTGAACGAAGGCAGAAGAACGAAGACTAGACGAGATATGGATTCATGTCTCGCTGTTTTGTCCTGATCAGGGTAAGGATTTGGGTCAGCATTCATAAACAGCTAGACATAAATCTCTAATCTGTCTTCACACCTCATTCTAAACTCAGAATGCGTAAGATAATGTGCAAGACAGGCAAAAATTGTCAACCAGGGTCCACGTGGTCGTCGTTGTCCGACTTTGTTCTCTTGCTCAAACTCTCTAATGTTGTCGGAATCTTCGTGGTGAAGCATCGGAAAAAGTGATACGGAAATCGGGAAAAGTGCTACGAAAGCAATTGTAATGTTATTGTCCAAAACATTTTTTACCGAAAAAGTTGCCGAGGGGGGGGGGGGATTTAAAATGCTGTGTGGTCCGAAAAAATTTTTCTCACACAAACTTTGCGTCTCAAGTCACTGGCAGCTTGGCCCCACCTGGGTTTTTGCCGGCCCCCTCTGACCGAAAATCCTGGCTACGCCTCTGTTTCTGACTTGGGTGTACAAGATGCTGCTATGACAGATCCCCCCCATAATTATCAAGTCCCACACATTGCACATCAGTGGTGTGCTGCCAGTGCTGGCTCTGGTTGGTCAGGGGAAACCACCTCAAAAATTCATTAAGACAGTTTAATATGTGCCAACTCTTTCCTTTACTCATTTCAGGATTAACTATATAACTTGGGAGGGGGGATGGCAAATCCCAGCCTTGCTTTGTGAATCTTATGTCATGTCTTTTATCTTCAAATGATTCAATGTCTTTTTAAAAATGCTAAACATTTATGTTGTAAATACTGTAGCTTTTAAAAATTGTCAACACGGACGGTAAGAATTGTGAGAATTGGTAAAACTAATTTTTGGCTCAATTTGCATCATACCGCTCGTGTAAGGAAGCAAAAAACTTTAAAATGTTATGTTTTATCATATGTGTTCATAATTGACACAAACTGACACAAAGTAACACAGTTTTTAATCCAGTCTCCCCTTGGCAATCTGACGTCCAGTTGACAAAAACATCGCTTGCTCAAGCTTGCTATTATTACATACCACACCAAACTTTTTGTTGCCAACAACTATCTGTCATGTATATGGTCCCTTTCTGTAAATGCCCTCCCCCACTAACAAATTCTTAAAAAAGGCCCAGACTCATTTGGCCGATTTTTAAGTAGAAATGACAATTTTGGTATCATTTCATGCATTTGTGGCACCCCCTAAATGGCCCCATTTGTCCATTGGAAGCTGTCATAGATAGAGATACTCCAGACTGCAGAGTTGGGCACTTTTCTACAAGATCTCGGGTGCGCATATGTTAGAAAATTGAAGTGCAGGTGCGCAATACAGTTCCCAAGTGCGCATCAAGATGCAGTCAAGGGCACAAAAGTAGCAAGATACATGTTAAAAACAATGAAAATTAGAGATTTGAGGGCAGATTAAATTGCAAAAATTGTAAAGTACACCCCGGGTGCGCTAAAATTTCTGCCTAAAAAACTTGATATCGAGTGTGACGTTGACCAACTCTGCAGTCTGGGAGATACTCAGATTTACTTTCAACTGTTTCAAGAAACACTAAATTTTGTAATCTCTCAACAAATTGACAAACACTTTCAGGAGCAACTTTCAC